ATCGTGCCCTGCCCCAAGTCGTATGTTGAAATCCTAACCCCCCATGTGATGGTATATGGAGACGCGGCCTTTGGAAGGTGATTAGTTTAGATGAGGTCATGAAAGTGGGGCCCTCATAATGGGATTAGTGTCCTTGGAAGAAGAGACACCAGAGAGCTTGCTCTGTCTTCTCTGCCTCTGTCTGTGTCTCTCTCTCTCTCTTTCGCCATGCTCATACAAAGCAGAGGTCATGAGAGCACACAGGGAGAAGGTTGCCTTCTGCAACCCAAGGTGAAAGCCCTCACCAGGAGCCACCCATGCTGGCACCCTGTTCTGACTCTCAGCTTCCAGAACTATGAGAAAATACGTTTTTATTGCCTAAGCCACCCAGTCTAGTATTTGGCGATGACAGCTTAAGCTGACTGATACAACTGTGTGGCACGTATATGACATTCCCGATTTATAATAACATAATTATGGGCAATATTTATTAGTGCTTTACTCTGAAACTAGTCCTAGGCTAAGTTCATTTAGCTAATCTACTTATATAGTGTGTCTGTGCATATGCGTGCATGTAGTAGTATGGTTATAATATCTTCATTTTATAGAAAGGGAAATTGTACCGTAGGCAGATGGCAATTTAATTGTTCAAGGACACTTAGTAAAAAGAGAATCCATATCCAACCCAGGCAGTTTCTAACTCCAGAGCCTATTCTATTAACTATGGCACAAATTTTATCTTTTTTCTTCTTTAAATTTTTTTATTGTTATCTTAATCACCATACATTACATCATTAGTTTTTGATGTAGTGTTCCATGATTCATTGTTTGTGCATAACACCCATTGCTCCACAAAGAACATGCCCTCTTTAATACCCATCACCAGGCTAACCCATCCCCCCACCCCCCTCCCCTCTAGAACCCTCAGATTGTTTTTCAGAGTCCATCGTCTCTCATGGTTTGTCTCCCCCTCCAGTTTCCCCCCCTTCATTCTTCCCCTCCTGCTATCTTCTTTTTTTTTCCTAACATATATTGCATTATTTGTTTCAGAGGGACAGATCTGTGATTCAACAGTCTTGCACAATTCACAGTGCTCACCATAGCACATACCCTCCCCAATGTCTATCAGCCAGCCACCCCATCCTTCCCAATGCACCACCACTCCAGCAACCCTCAGTTTGTTTCCTGAGATTGAGAATTCCTC